TTTCTGGTACTACAAGATGCATCAGCCTCATCTTGAATCTTCCCTGCAGCCCTAGAATCAACCATTTCTCCAAAGAGCTTTGTTTTCTTTTACTTGAGAACAATGTCTAGAAACCACAACTAGGCACTAGCTGTCCTTTTTACTATGGGGATTATTACTTCTGTACTTGCTCAGTGGACACAGCCAGGTAGTATGTGGCATGTACACTGACCCACACATACATGCATGTGCACACACACACAAACTGCTTTTGAATCACCCAGCTACACATGAACTCATACTGATGTCTCTGACTCTAATCTAGTACTGTAGGGTTCACTCTGGTCTTCCTTTCTCATGTATCTGTAACTTCCCTCTCCGACACTGAGAAACCTGGCGCCCACCATCCAACACCCATTTACTTATTTGTTCAACCCCAATATATATGTAAAGAACTGTCAACCCACTTAAAGAACTGTTTCACCCCTGCGAAAAATAAAATTATCAACTGGAGTTTAGGTTTATGTACTGTTACTATTGCATTAGTCTTCCAACTTCCACTCAAAACACCACTTTCCAGAGTTACTCAGGTCAGCTTTTCCTGCCATCCCATACCCTCAATCTGCCATATATTTGTGATACAGTTAAGATTCGTTTGTCACAGGCTGCAATACATCCTGGAATCTCCCAACATCTGGGTTGATATTAAAATGTTAAACTTTCTCTCTGTGATACACAGTTCCAGGGTTGTGAAAAATGCATAGCATCAAAGAGAACACGCAAATACCATACGTAACAGTTCCGTCATCCTCACAGTTTCCCTGGTGCGTTCCCCTTGTAGTCAGCGACATCTTCTTTCCCCTAACGCCTGGAAACCATTCCTCTGTTTGCCATCTCTATAGTTTTGCCTTTTTCCAAATGTCATATGAACGGAATCATAGAATACATGGCCATATGAGCTTGCTTCTTAGTAAAATTTATCGAAAAATCATCCACATCGTTGCTTAAATCGAAAGCTTATTCCTTTTAATAGCTGAGTAGTATCTCATTGTATGAATGTATCAGTTTGTTCATCTGTTCTCCCAAGAAAGAACGTTTTGGTTGCTTCCAGTTTTGAGCAACTGTGAATAATACTGCTGTGAACATTAACGTACAGGTTTTTATGTGGACGTAAGTTTTCAAATTACGTGGTAAATACCTAGGCACGTGACCGCTAGGTCGCACAGCAAATCTTTCTTACAAAATACAATGAAACTGTCCTCCACAGTAGCCGTACAATTTTGCATTCTCACCAGCAACGAATGCGAGTTCCTGCTGCTCTGCATCCTGGTCGACAATTTGTTCTGTCTGTTTTTTTAGATTTTAGCCATTCTAATAAGTGTGTTGTGGTACCCTATGATTTTAATTTTTCATTTCTCTAATGACGTATGATACCGAAGACCTTTTCCTGTGTCTGTTTGCCATCTGCATATTTTCTTCAATGAAGTGTCTGTTCTGATCTTGTGTACATTTTTTAATTGGGTTGGTGATTTCCTGATTGTTGAGCTTTAAGAGTTCTTTCTATATTCTGGATATAAGCCCTTCATCAAATATGTGACCTGCAAATATATTCTCCCAGTCTGTGGTTGTCTTTTCATTCTCTTAACAGTGTCTTTCACAGAGCAGAAGCTTTTAAATTTTGATAAAGTCCAACTCATCAATTTTTTTCTTTCATGGGTCATACCTTGAGGTATCTAAGAAGTCACTGCCAAACCAAAGGTCACTTAGATTTTCTTTTACATATCAGTCTTTCTAATGGTTCAGTTTCTTCGAATTGTGGTTGCCCCATGAACTCTAGCTATCTCGGCCTCTCTGGACTCACTTCCTTCACTTCTTCAACTCAAGGAGACCACTGGGCTCCACGCTCTGCAATATGGGGGCCCTTAGGCAGTAGGCTGGCGCAGCCGCAGCACCACTCTCATCTGTTTCCATCTCTCACGAATAAACATCATTCACTGCCTGATGTCCGGTATCTTGAAAATCGTCATTTCATATGTTTTGCCTGATATTTTACCTGTTTTAGGAGAGAAGGCAAATCTGATCCCTGTTCCTCCAACATGGCCAGAAGTAGCAATCCAAGTAATTTAATATTGTTTAAAGAAGTTAAATAAATCAAAAAGTCATTCCTTCATGATATTTCAAAATAGTCACTTGACAATTATTTATTCACTGTTATTGGAAGCCAGGCACCATGGTAAATACTCAGGATATGGCATGAAACAAGCCATATATGGTTACCATCTTTCCTTCTAAGACTCACAGAAATTATCGATAATTAAATTTGTCATCAGTATTTTAATTATAACTCCCCCCCACCTTTTTGAGACAGGGTCTTGCTTTATTCTAGGCTAGAGTGCAGTGGTGTCATCACAGCTCACTGCAACCTCAAACTCCTGGGCTCAAGTGATCCTCCTGTCTAACTCTCTGGAGTAGCTGGGACTACAGGCACATACCACCACGCCTAGCTAATTTTTCTATTTTTTGTAGAGATGGGGTCTCACTACATTGCTCAGGCTGGTCTTAAACTCCTGGCCTTAAGTGATCCTCCTGCCTTGGCCTCCAAACTGCTAGGATTACAGATGTGAGCCAACGTAGTCGGCTTCAAACACTATTATTAATGAAATAAAATTCAGAAGAAGTTAAATTGTCCTATAGGAAACAAATAATTTCTTTATTATTTTCTTATATCCTTAATTTCTCCCATGATATAGAAGTTGTCATTATGAAGCTTAATCCTAAAATGAATTTCATTAGTGTTTAACCTAGCAGTCCATGAAACATTTTTGACTGTGCATATCAATAAGAAATCTGAGCATACCTCCCAACATTTATAAACTATTATATTAGCCTTCCTGAGCTGCCATAACAGAATACCACAGAATGCATGGCCTAAACAACAGATTTATTTTCTCACGGTTCTGGAGGCTAGAAGTCCAAGATCAAGATGGCAGCAGGGTTGGTTTAGTGAGGCTTCTCTTCCTGGCTTATGGACAGACACCTTCTTGCCCTTTTCTCTGTATGTGTGTACTCCTGGTGCCTCTTCTTCTTATAAGGACATCAGTCCTATCAAATTAAGACACCCACCTTGGTGGCCTTATCTTAACTACCACCTTCAAGGCCCTATCTCCAAATACAGTCACAGGGGGCTTCAACACACAAATTTGAGGGGGATACAATTCAGTCTATGACATTCCACCCTCTAGCCCTACAAAGTTCGTATCCTTTCTGAATGCAAAATATATTCACCTCGTCCCAACAGCCTGCAAAGTCTTAACCTGTTTCAGCATCAACTCCAAGTCCAAAGTCTCATTTAAATGTCACCTAAATCAGATATGGGTGAAACTCAAGGTATGATTTATTCTGAGGCAAAATTCTTGTCCAGCTGCGAACCGGTGAAACTAGACAAGTTACGTACTTCCAAAATACAATGGTGAAACAGGCACAGAATAGACATTACCATCCAAATGAAAGAAATTAGAAAAGAAGAGGTGACAGGTTCTAAGCAAGTCCAAAATCTAGCAAGGCAAATTCCATTAGCTCTTAAGCCTAGAGAATAATCTTCTTGGGCTTGATGCTCTGCCTTCTGGGTCTACCGTGGTGGCAACCTCACCTTCTGGGCCCATTATAGCAGCTGCCCTGCCTTCTGGGCCCACTGGGGCAGCAGCCCTATACCCTCAGCCCCTAAAGCTACGGACAGGGGCAGACTGGCCACTAAAAGAGAGGAGGTGACTCCACTCTCTGAAACCAACAAGAAGACAGCCTTGCTACCCAGGCCTCTGTGCTCTGGGCCTATGGTAACAGTGGCAACCCTGCTGATCTCTGAATTGTCCTAGGAGTTACTCTTCCCTTTTCTTGAAGGATAAGGCATGTTCACAGCCAGAGAAGCTCTACTGTTCCATCCTATAGAATCCCAAAAGTCTGAAAGTTCTCCTTTAGTGTCTCTGATGGTATAATCCCATCTCTATTCTGGCTTCTGCTGATCAAATCCATGGATCATCACTTTATGAAGTAATTGTCCCGCCATAGCCTTGGTGTTCTCTCCAGAACACACCTTCTCATTTTTTGCAATGTGGATGGGCTGAGAATTTTCCAAATCTTCAAGTTCTGGTTCCTTTTTGCTTAACAATATCTTCAATTTACTATTAATATAAGCACTAAGGAGAAAGCAGGTCACGCCTTCAATACTTTGCTTAGAAAGTATTGAAGCTAAATACATATGCCCATCACTTTTAACTTCTACTTTCCACAAAACACTAGAAAACAGTTTCAGTAAAGTTATTTGCCACTTTATAACAAAGATCACCTTTCCTCCAGTTTCCAAACAGATATATGAGCAACGAAAGTCACCTTTCTCATCGGGAAGAGACGGAACACTATCACTTCGAAGAGATTCATCTGCGGCAGTCTGAACCTGTTCATCAACGGAACTCTCCATCTTGTCACCATGAAGTTTCTTTTCATTTTCCTTATGAGATGGGACTGAAGGACTTTCTTGATGGCTGCTACCACTACTACTTCTGTTTATAAACAAATAAAAAATCACCAAAATAAGAATCATAACTTCAAAATAAACTTATTTGGCCAAAGGACTGCTTTATAATCAAGATATGAAATGAAGAGAGATATAATACGAAACATAAAAAGTGGATATACATCTGAGAATAAACTATCGTGGAAAAGATGAGAAGGAGAAAGGAAGGCTTCGCTTTCAAATAATCATAATAGGCAACCACTATTTTTCCTTTCATTTCAAAATCAAACTTCTGGGAAAGGGGGCTTCTACTCATTGTTTCTACTTCCTGACTCTTCATTAACATCACAATTTATCACAATCTACTTCCGTCCCAACTGCTTTGCTAGAACTGTATTTTTTTGTTTTTTTGAAATAGGGCCTTGCTCTGTCACTCAAACTAGAGTGCAGAGGCATCATTATAGCTCACTGTAACCTCAAACTCCTAGACTCCAGCAATCCTCTTGCCTCAGTCTCCTGAGTAGCTGGGACTACAGGCATAAGCCATGGTGCCAGGCTAATTTTTCTATTTTTTGTAGAGACGGGGTCTCACTCTTACTCAGACCAGTCTTGAGCTCCTGGTCTCAAGCAATCCTCCTGCCTTGGCCTCCCAAAGTGCTAGGATTACAGGCATGAGCCACCATGCCCAGCTCAGAAAACTGTTTTTGATAAACTCTATCTAAACTTCTAATTGCCAAATCCAAGAGATAATTTATTTCTCTGCAACCTTAGATGGTGTTGACTTCTTTCTCCTTTTTAAAAAGCTCTACTTGCTAAAGAAAATGTAGTAAAATGTTAGCATTAAGGTAATCCAGATGAAAGATATTTGAGGACTTTTTCTTACTTTTGCAACTTTTCTGTAAGGCTGAAATTATGTCAAAATTAAATGTTAAATAAAAGAGCTCTCCTCTCTTATAATCCATGATTCTATTCTCACCTGTTTCTCTTCCTGCCTCTCGAACAGGTTTTCTTGTTTCTTTTACTTGTTTTTAATTTTTCTGTATTCCTTTAAGTGATGGTGTACCCTGGGGACTGGTTTTGGTCCTTTTCTCTTTTATGCCACATATTCTCCTTGGGCAATCATATGCATCCTTACAACTTTAATTCCTGTCATTTAGATTGAGCCTCAAATCTGTATGATTGGCTTTGCCCTTCCTGTATCCAAATGCCAAGTGAACTTCCGTTTTTGGCTATCCTTCAGCCAACAAACTAAACATACATTCTCCGAAATTTCCTTTCTCCTCTTTGTTTTTCTTATTCATTCGTTTAAAAAAAACCGAGTATATTAGGAGCCTATCAAGAGCCAGGTTTCAAGATCCTCTGTACATGCGATTTCCTCTTCTGAATGCCCTTCCTTCTCCGTCTGATGGACTATGAATTCAAGACTAAGTTCGTGTCGTTTCTGCAAAGTCCTCAGGAACCCTTCCCTAATACTCAGGGAAGGTGTGGTCACTTCTATCCCTGTGCTTCTGCTGTTTTTTGTGTCTATTTCTATGATAGTATTTATCATAATAGAATGCAACTGTCTGGTTTAATAGATATTTCTGAAAAGATAAATCTTCTAGTAAAGCTGTAAGGTAAAAGATATAAGCCAGCAAACAGCAAGGGCTTCAAAGTCAGAAGGACATGGGGTTGAACCCCAATTCTACCAATCAGTAGTTATGTGTCAATCATTTCTCTTAATAAACATGTAGTAGACTGTCCATGAAAGGATAAATAAAATGTGGTATATCTGTGCAATACAGTATTATTTGGCCAGTAAATGAAGAAGTAACATATGCTGCAACATCGATGAACCCTGGAAACATTATGATAAGTGGAGGAGTCAGCCACAGTACCGCACAGTGTAATGATGCCATTTATATAAAAAATCCAGAATACACAAATCCACAGAGAATGGAGATGGGAAGTAGATTAGTGGTTGCCAGACAGGGGCACAGCAGGGAGTGAGTGCTAACAGGTACTGGGTTTCTTTTTGCAGTGATGAAAATGTAGCCCTCGAAGAGCTTCTACTCTAGAATGCAACTGACAAGCAAAGGAACAAGGAACAGTGAGTGTCCAGGGACTATAATATATCATATATTCAGAATGCTGTGGGAGAACACAAAAGGGACATCTGAAGCAGACTAGGGGTAGCACCAATTCTTGAAGGGTCAGTAAAAGTAAACTACATGAAACGAAGGAGGGGAGAGTCTAGAAAGAGGTATGTATATGTAATGGCACAGGAGACAAAGAGAACACGATTCTTTTAAAGGACTGGAAGTAGTTAGAATTAGTAGAGTATTCTAAGAGAGGAAATGCTAAAAAACAGAGCTGGGGATGGACCAAAGGCTCAATTATAAAGGGACTTTCATACGATGCTACGTGATGTGAACGACACCTTGAATGTTCGGGGAGAACACTGAAAGGTCTCAAATAGGTGAATAACCAAATGGGCTGCACAATTTAGAGAAGTCACTCTGGTTACCACGTGGCTAATGAACAGCGTGGAGAAAGATCAGAGGACGGGGAAACAAACCTATTAGGCACCCACCACAGTAATCCACACGGCGGCTTAAATGAAGCGTCAGTGAAGGTCAAATGAAACCACGCGGTGTCAGAGCACAACAGGCACTCAACAATGGCTGGTACTTTTCCCACATTAATTTTCATGTTTTTTGGTCTCATGATTTAATTTTTAAATCGAAGTTTTACCACACTTGGCAATGTCAGTGTCACACCTCTAAGAATTCTGGAAAGTAGCCTCTAACACCTTCTAATCCAAGGATGGAACCATAATTGAAAACTATTGGGTTGGTGCAAAAGTAATTGCGGTTTTAGCATTGTC